GAACCCTAGAGTCACATCTTAGGTTGAAAGGGACTTTAAAACCCATCTAAAACCCCTTGCTATGGTCAGGGTTACCTCCTCTAGATCAGGCTGCCCAGGGCCTCATTCAGTCTGGCCTGGAGCACCGCCAAGGATGGGGCATCCACAGCTTGTGCCAATGCCTCCCCACCCTCATCATGAAGGATTTCTTCCTTACATCTAATCTAAATCTACCCTTTCAATATACAACCATTACCCCTTGTCCTGTCGCTACATCGTGGTTGGCAGGGTATTCATAATTATGGAAAAGTTTTTTCCTGAATTAATTTCTTCATATGCTCCATCCACAATATACAGGAAGGCACTTGATTAGTGTAAGCTTTGGGAAGGGAAGCTGGTATGCCAGTGCTAGGAGTGAAATAAAGCATGGTGTACAGGATCAACGTTACCCCTCTCTGCTTCTTAAAAAGTCTATAGTTCTCCTACCTCTCTGTTTTACCAAGTTCACTGGCTCTATAAAATGCTGAGACTGGAAGTTGCCAAGTTCCAGTTACTCTTATAATCTAAGGTGAGTTTGGTTGCTTTTTGTTGTGGTTTTTTTTCCAGTTGTAGACTTTTTCTCATTAATCTGCTTGTTTTTCATTGCAAAATTTAGATGAGTTTTTCCACTGAGAGGATATGAAGATGAAAGAGGAAGAATTGCTATAGGAAGAGGTTTTATTTAAAAAATATAGCGGAAGGTTTTTTCATCATATCTTTGAGTAAACATTAGTAGGGTAGTGACAGAGGATGTGTCACTGGATTTATTTAGTGTAAGACAGTTCTGCTGAGTAAAGTATCATATGAAAGCAGCATCTTTTTTTTTAATATAATGTAAACGGTAAATTATTACAGTGACTTTATTTTCTTTTTGTTTGATGGATTGTTGCCATTTGTTGCCACTGAGTAATGGCACCTACACTGTGTTTTACATGACAGTAGAATGTCTTGGGCAGCATAAATCAGCCTCACCAAGTGTTTGAGAGAAATAATGAAAGAAAGAACTGGCATGTAAGGCAAGTGCCTTCCAGTTTGTCTCCTGCAGCCTTCCTTCCTCTGAAACATTCATCATCATTCTCTTAGTTTGCTGGGATCTGAAATCAGGCAGATATTTTGTTATTAATACTGAAGCAGGGTGTTGAGAGCTGCCATCACATCTTTCTTTAGCTGAGAGAAAATTACTTCAGCTAAAGTTCAGCTATCTCCTGCTATTTCTAAGTCTAGTGCTTCAAAGCTGCATTACCTGGCTTGTATGCTATGTGCACCTTGATGATTCTACATGTTTTATCATAACTGATCATATAGAATTATATACATATTCTTAAAGCAGGAGAGACTCTGCAGGCTGGGATAGAATCTCAGTCCCAAACAGGTCAGAAGCTAGGAGGTAAGGGGTGTGCAGTGCATCTAAAGGGGTAAGAGACAGCCAAGAAATAGAAGGTACAAAAAACAAGGCTACCAAGTAGCTGAGTTTGTGGAGCAATGAATGTATTTGCTGAGGACTTTGCATCCTTTTGGAGAGAATATCCTGGGACTGGTTGTCAGCATATAAGATGAATCAAAATGTGAATCCTCTCAAGAGTTTGCATAGAAAGCATGAAATCTAATGATTCAGAAATAGAGCTGCTCAAGGCACTTGATTTTTTTTTTTGTCAAACTTTCCTTCTCAGAACTCTCAAGAGTTTGTTGTCTATCTGTTCAGCATAAGGAATGTTTTTACTGCTAAGGAATTGGTAAAGCAATTTGCTGGCAGAGACCTTGCCTCTTGTTCTGCCCAGATAATGCCAGAGCGTAGATCACTATGAGCAATTACAGTCATCAGTAACAGAGTTTAGAAATGGCATTTCTGCTGTTAAACCATTACATTTAACTTCTACAATGCAGATCTTTCATCTGGTACAACATCTTCCTCCTTAGCTATGCCTCCTGCCCTTTCTTTGTCAGTCTGGTTCACTGAATTGCTAGCTGATGAACAAATACTCTGTGTATGACAACAGGAAGTTATGCCTAACTATTTATTCATTACAGCCCTTAACCAATAGCTGAAAATGATGTAGTAAAGAAGACATGAAGAAATGTTGTTTTCTGATGGCCATTTATAGCTTGAGGGGGAGGCATTTTATTGCTTTATTTACATATTTAGTAAATTTAGTAAATTCATTTTTCATATTTGTGTTTGTTTTCATCTGATATCTATTCTTTGTGTAACAATCATTACTACAAATGCAACCCTCTCAGAGATTTGTGCAAAGTCACTGTTGAAAACACAAAGCCTTCATTTATGGATAAAAGTAGTTTTTAACACTAAAACCCCTTTCACAGGTTTCCTCATGTGTGGTTATACTTTGTGTGCCAGATCACTGCTCCCTGGCTTAGGCTTTATAAAATGCCATGGCACCGAGACCCCAGGATGGATTATATATAATAAAAGGCAGGGACTGTAGTGGGCCTTTATGTACGTGTTGCAAGGGAAAATATATGGTTGTGAAACCTGCTGTTCTGAACAAGGACACCCTCCTGTAAGTGAATCCTTAGTTTGGGGACCAACTCCCTCATATCAGAGTCACGCTGAAATATGGTGTATCAGAATAGCCAGGAGAAGGGATACAGACTCAAACAATGAAAATTCAAGACACCTTCTTTAGTTCTTGCTTGTGAAATTCCAAAGGAAATGATCTTCATCTATTGCAGACAGCAGAATGGGCAATGTAAATAGTAACGAGCATCCTGCTGTGAATGAACTTGGCAGCTGAGCCTGTCTGAGGCAAATAGCATTACCTGATTGTGTTGTTTTCTCCACCAAAATCTGTTAGTGCTCAAAATACTAATGCTCGTGTGGAGAAGAAAAATAAAGGAAGAGGAGGGCTGTGGTTCCTCCTAATGAATCCTTCAGCTTGTTTACAGTGAGGGCCATTCTCATCTGACAGCATCATCAATATGACCTTACTGTATAAGCAAGCAGAAGGAATAGATGCACACAAAGGTAATAGAGACTTTTTTTCGTTTAGTATTGTCATTCTGGATACTAGCAGATATGAATCACAAAAATATGCCCCTAGTGCAGTTTGCCTGTGAGTGGGCTCACGTCACCCTCAGCTCTTTTAAAAAGGAGATGTCTGAGCCAGGTATGAGAGGCCAGCCATTGTAGCACTGTAGCTGTGACAGGAGGGAGTTCCAGAAATGCTCACAAACATTTGGGCATGTGAAGTAAATGAATTTTTTTTTGTTTTCTACATTTCCATTGAGATGTCCAGAGTGATTTTACTACGGAAGACAGCATTTATACTCTAAGTGTTCAGAGGAACCAAGGCTGATGTGAATGTAAACTGATAAAACTTCCTATTTTTTAAAGTGCCTGGGCTGTGGTCTATCAGTTCTTCTCTACTATAGCAGAGAAAATAATCTACTGTGTGTGTGTTCTCCAAGCACATTTAATCAGAGAGAATGCAACCTCTGGGAGAGTAAAATATGTACCTAGAGTCCTGTTGACAAATTCTTGATTGTAAGAATTCTCTTGCTCTGCCTACGGATTTCTATTACCGAGCTAATTTAGGAAGTCAAGGTATACAAATATGCTTTTGGTTTTCTTTTGTTTACCTGTTCTTCTCAAGCACAATTTCATGCAAACAGCAACACCAGAAGGTGCATTTAGTAGTTTGATGTTCTTTCCTTTAGAAAGTCTGGGGATTTTCCCGATGTTCATATGAAAGCATTAAAAATGAATGGGATGACTAAATGGTTTATAATTTTATATACTCAGTTAACATGAAAGCAATTACTAATGTGTATAATTATCTCCAGAATTACTTAGATTGTATGAATAGCATTCAAGCCGACAATTTTAACTGTTTTCCAGGGAATGTGTTGTTACATAATACATAATAAGAATAATCTTCTACAGTCTGAACTCAGCTTTATTGCCCTATCAGAATTTACTTCTCAGATTATCTTCTTAGAGAATGATGAGTATGATGACTTTTTATTTTAACCAGTATTCAGAATGCTCACAGATTTCAGTGGGTGATTGGGTTTTGTTTATGGCCTGTATAACACTGAGTCTCAAAGCTAATAACACTGGTATCAATGCTCAAGCCATTGTTCTCTGAATTAAGGGAGCCATATTGAGATCAGTGAGTGGTTTGACCTTACATGGCTGAGCTCTAGTCAGTGAGAGCAGAGACAGAGAAAGTGGTCAAGTATTAAAAAGTGGCTCAGGTTGAAATATAAGGCCAGATAGATTGGTGGTGAAGATTAAGAGATAGGGAGGAGTGTTATTCATGGTCAGAGTGATGGCCAGCTATTGCCAGTCAAATGCAAAGTGACAACTTTGCTTCAGAATCAAGCCAAGTTGAATACAGACATTGTACAAAAGAATGTATTAGCAATTCAACTCCTCAGATATAGATGGATATGAAATTCATAGTGTGATCAACATTATACCAATACAAGGAGCACAGAACACTCCTGATCTTCTCATACCTTCAACGAGGTACTTGCTGCCCCATCCAGGGCTTTGCCAGTTTTCCTAAAGACTTTGGCAGATCCAGCTTAAAGTAACCATTTCTGGTGACAGATATACAAACAACTTGTCTGCAGGCCCTGTCTCTTGCTAGTTTTCATCAAAATTGTCCTGAAGTACCAAAGCTTTGTTCAAGCTTTTTCACCTTGAGAGTCCCTGGGTCTCTTATGAGGTATGTAAGGAGCATCCTACTTAGAGAAAGATTTCAGAAACTGCTATTTTGGGAATCCTCTTTAGAATCTGTCCTTTTGCATTGTATCTCTGTTGTACTCTATTGTATTGTAGCTCTAACTGCTCTCTTTGAGAATCATGGACTGAGAAGACTGCAGTGAGAATGGGAGTGGATCTAGTATCACTAAGGGAAGTATGGGATTTTCAGAAGGCTTTGGGTCTTGCTAATAGTTCCCCGGACTCCCCTTTTTAAAAAGAGGCAGAAAAGATCCTGGAACCAGTGGGAATTTCAAACGAAATTTTAATGGCAATGATTAAAAGTAAAAATATCTTTTCAGCGTTGGCGAAGTCAATGCTTGCTCTTTTGTTAAAAATTCAAAATGCCAGTCTGAGACATCACTGGCATTACTTGATAGGTGTAGTTCTTTAACCCTCTCAAGTCAACTATGGACCCTTTTGAATCCTGGCATCATAACAGTTCTGTAGGAAAAAATAGCATATGAATTCTGACATCTCATGGTGCAATGAAGAAGGAAATACTGTCTTGGGTCAGTCTGGGGTATCTGGCATGGATGAAATCTGGCCTCAGGCTGTTGTGATATAGCAAATGACAGTGGGGCCTTAGAAGGGTTAGAGACCTTCTACATTGAGCAGAACAAGCACGCATGGAAATAACTTACACATAATGAGGAGAAACAGACGTTTCCATGATGGATGCAGTTCCTAAAAGAGCAAGACTCAAGTGTTTAATTCCACTTTTCAAGGTCACGAATAATATAATCCATCTAATGGAAAAAATATACACTCCATCGAAAGTTTATATACACATGCAGGAACATATGTTGAACTGATTAAACACAGTTCAGTTAGTTTATTCTGGTTTTGCTTTGTTACATCTATAAATGGAAAAATATGGCATCTGATAATAAATAGCAGGCAAATGAAAGTGACCAGACATCAAAGACTTTTTCTGATCAAGGATTTTTTGAAGTCTGATAGAATATTTCCCCATGTCAGAGAGCAGCTGATCCTTCAGCAGGGTATTGAAGCCACCAGTCTTGAATTCTAGCTCCAGTTATGGGCAGGGAATGATAGTAGCTGTGATAGACTTAGGGAATAACAGCCACCAATTCAGTCCTGGTGGGAGATTAACATAAAACAGTGTGTTGTTTGTTTTTTTTTTTTGAAACCTGTGACCTATTCAACTCTTGCTAATTCTAAAGGTATAAGTACTGCAATTCAGGGGGCTGCTTGTGTTTTTTAAATGAAGCAAGTAAAGATGAAGTTGTTAGATACTTAAATGCTTTCATTTGGTTTAATATACACTTTGTAGAGGTGAAGAAAAGAAGCTTCTTCTAAAATACTCTGCTAAAACTTTTAATCCATGCCCCGTTTCATGCCTTGAATATGGTTTTTAGTACAGTTTATGTCCTTGTTATCTAAAATCCCTTGTGGAAAAATACTGTAAAGAAATGTCTCTTTTCCTCTTCCCTTTGGCATCACAGCTGTCAAAAGACATTGTTAGGTTTTCACAGTGGACAATTTATCAGACACAATGGCTTGTTACTGAGATGCTCCGAGGGGAAAAAAAGACGAAGGGATGGACATAGTCGTACTGCAATGGTTGGAGAAAGACAGCTGAGGAAAAATCTTAATGAAGATTCACAGCACAACATTTAGGTCAAAGTCCAAAGTAAGGTTCATCTGTCTGCCTTCAAGGAAGAAGGTGAAAAACAGTAGCTTCTGAACGATGTATCTTTCTAGCCTGTAAAAGCCAGAAACTAGTACAACCCTATGTGGCTATGCTTAACACTCAGCAGTCTCCCTGGCCCAGTGAAGTCCTGACACAGTTTTTTCTGCCAAGAGCCAGTACTGGAACTGTTAGTTGGATTTCCTGATAGTTCTTAGTTCAGTGGGCTATGCCTGCTATGAAGCACAACATATCCAAGCAACACATTGATGTTAAAGCTAAAAAAATTTCATTGTATGTGAGAAGTTTATGGTCTTTATCCAGGTGGAAGTTTTGAATATAATATACTCTGAATACATGATGAGGTATAAAACACACTATTGTGACCAAGGTGAAGAAGAAACTCTTTGCCTGAGCCCTGAATTCAACATGGGAGTTGATGTCAGGCCAGTATTTCACAGTCAGTCTGCACATCACAGATAACTGGATTATAGTGAGCAAACCACAAACTGCCAGCAGAACTCCAACCAAGCAGTAGTTTACTACCACCATGGGCATCTCTTTCATCTCCTGCTGGAACTGAAAGCATTGAGAGGAAGGGTATGCTCTAGAGGTGCCATAGTAGGAGAGAAAAACGGGAGCAATCACCAGAGCTCCTAGCATCCAGACAGCTGTCACCCAAATTGTAGTGTAGCACTTGTTGAACTCAAGTTGAAAGAGACGTATTACGATGATAGCAACGTAGAAGGTGAAGGTGGTATACATATGGAGGTAGACGGTGGCACTTACTAGCTTGCAAGTGAATGTCCCAAATTTCCATTCCTGTGAAACGTAATAGCTGAGGCGGAAGGGGATGCTGAGTAACAGAAGGGTGTGCAGCACTAGGAGGTTGATTATGATGATAATCATTGCAGATTGGGATCTCCTTCGAAACAACTGGTGAGACATCACAAGGACACCAAGAGTCCCCCCAGCTAGATCAATGCTGTACAGGGTTATGAGAATAGAGCGAAGCCTGTCTGAGGTGTCCGGCACTGTCCTGATCATAGAATGATTCTGCTGGGTTAAGCTGCTGTTGGACATCCTGCTAAGCACCTCTTTTGGAGGTTACTGAAAAAGAAAAAACAGGAATTAGTAAAATAGACATGTTTTCTTTGTTTCTTTGCTCCTAACAATAAAGGAACTACTTTAACTACGTTAACTACAGGAATGTCACAGATTCATGAAGTAATATTTAAGTGGACTGTTTGACACTATCTTGCATATACATAACCTTAAAACAGTTCTCATGCTGCATATGACAGCGATAAGCTGCATCTCTTAGTGTTAAAACATTGTTTATAATAATGAAAGTGTTTTCGGTAAGCTGCATGACAGGAAATTTTTTTCAATTATTTGCCTCTATCAGCCTTCTGAAATAATTAAGACACTGGCTGTTTGAAAATTCTGCAAGTTTAATTTGCATCTAAGATTGAAGGAGGGGAAAACAATGAAATGTAAAGAGACTGCACATACAATTTATGCATAATTTATGAAGACACCAAGGCCATATTTTTAGCATTTTGCTGGATGACTGCAGGGCACCCGTAAGGCAGCAACAGTTTCTAGATTTGTAGAGCACAATGATAAGGATCTGCAGATGAGAAGTCAATTTCTTCTTGCTTTGTTTCCAAAACTTTTTGCTACAAAATTTTCCTTGCACTTCTTTATTATGAAAAGTAAAGAGAAGTCAAAAATAATTAAGGATTTTTTTCAAGGAGAAAAACCTATTGGCACCTGTTGAACATAGCCAGATACATCCGTGTTCATATTTAGACATAAAGCTTGCACAGAGTTCTGTTTGCACAAAAGTATATGGATGTAGCACGCAGAGTATGTGAATGTTTTGCTAATGAGGTCTCACCTTATAGAGAATATCAAAATAAAATGTAGTAATGGCTGAAATATGGTGTCTCGGAGAGGAAATGGTTTCACTCTCTGATTACTCTTGTTTGTTATCAGTAACGTGGCTTTAATCTGCAATCCTTAATTCTGTTGCACTCATCTGTGAAATGATTATAAAGCACATTTCCATCAATTAGGGTCACGTTTTTCCCAGTAATTGATTGTAACCGAAGAACATTTTCAGAGAAAATTCTTACTTTTTTAAGCACCAGTCAAAGCATCTTTAGAAGTATTGGAATACTGTGTCCAAATCTGATCTAAACCATTTCTGTTCTTTTAAAATGCATGTTCTAAGAAGAATTTGAAAGAATTTAAAATTTCTCATGCCCACTAATATTTTTGAGACAGGCATGAGAAATTTGCTTCACTATTGACTTTGCCATAAGAAGTTGTACAAGGCATATGAAGATGACTTTCCATTCTTGGTGTAAAAGAACTTTCCACTATATGTTAATATTTCAAACTGGCTTTAAGTAGGAACAGTCATTTTTTTAAATGATTAATGAATGGTATAATTATAGCCCAGACACCAACAGTTTATGTTACTCAGAAGTAGATTTGCTTTTTTACTCTATTTATAGAAGTAAAATTATTAATTTTTTACCTTGTAATGTCTTAGTTTGGTGATTCCTCCTCCCTTTATTGCCATTTCATGCATCCGTAGCATACAGCACATATAATCAGTGTGGAAAAAAAAGAGCCTTGATAGTTGCTATTCACCCAAGAGCAACAGAAGGTTTTCTCAGCCCACATACAGGAAGGAAGAAGTCATATTTTAATTTGCAGAGATAGCGATCAAGTAAGTTCAACTTCCAGTATTACTCTATTGTTCACGCAGAAGGAAATGCTGTAAGGTTGCTGAGCTGTCAGAAATTATCACTATAGTTGGGCATGTAGGACAGACTGACTTGGCAGGACTGCTCCTGCCCACACTTGGTCAGTCTTAAGCTGGGCAGTGATTCCCTCAGCTGAACAACTGTTACAAGGTACTGGATTTTGACATTTAGCAAGGAAGTGAAGAAATGCGCATCTGAGTAAGGGATTTTTCATTATAAATGTATTTTATCCTGCACTTGTTCTATATTTAATAGTTTATAAAATGTGCCAGAATAACAAGGTGTTTAGCAGAGTTAAAAAATAGACATCACTTGGACATTCTGTCTTCAAGAATACAGAGGTGGTTCCTCACGGCTTAAGTAGCACGAATAAAGTAAACTTCATATATATAAAGCAACTTAAGAGTTTCTGCTGTTTAAAAAAAACACTGGCCAAGACCAGCAACTACTGAACTGCGTGAAGGCTGACCCCAAGCCAAAGCATAGCTGTAAGGCAAAAAGGAAAGCACTGAGTCAGGGATTCTCCACAGACTGTAGAAAGCAGTTTATTGATTAGAAATGAAAGAGAAAACAAAATATGTGGTGATTTTTTTTTTCAATTAAATTTCTAAACTGCAGTCAGAATGGTCAATATTCAAATAAGAAAGATTAATATACAAAGTCTTGTGAGCACTAGAATAAAGCCACTATTCCAGCAGGGCTGAACTAGCATCACTTCTGCAATTGTAAACAGTCATCTTCTGTGGAATGTGAGGGTAGTTTCCTTTGGGCCACTTCTATTACTAAGTACAGTTATTAGGAAGAACTGGATAGACAGTAAGTACAAAGACACGTACACAAAAACAAGGGCACTGAAAGTCAGGGAGAAAAGCTGAAAGAGTTTTGAGTGTGAGCAAGAGCACACGGGACTGTTATGTGGGACATTCTCAAGATAAGTTCTGAAAGCTTTGAGAAAACAGTTAACATTGCATTTAGACAAGGATACAGAGCTAGTGGAAACCCTGTTTTGGAGACTGCATGTATTGGTGGCTTGGGGGTAAGAGAAATGAGTAATTGCTCCAACAGACAGAGTGAGAAAAGAAAACAGCTGTGTGAATGATACTCACCAGGTATGGATCCAGCTGCTTAATACCACATAAGGACAGGCTGCTTCCTGATGTAGTAGTAATAAGGTTTGGGCATCAGAATGATTGGTTGGGTCTGCAGAAACATATAGAGGAATAGGGAGCAGCATGGGTGTCAGACACCAATGCTTTTGGCAGGTAAAAGTGCCTGTGAAGCTACCTACATTCACAGCCTCTGGGTAAAGCAGGGAAATGCATGCAGCCTTGTGGTCTGTCTACAGACAGCATCTGGAACAATCCACATATTGAATCACCAAGTAGCACTGAAGAAGGGAGATGAAGAAAGTGATTTGTTGAAATGACAATTGTGTAACAGTATATGCTCCAGGCAGAGCCAAAGCCAACTAGAACATCAAAAGCTTTGCATATTCTCTTGCCTTACCCAATCAAGTCTGAGCTCTTTGTATGTATAATAATTCCAAAAACTACAGCCAAAGGAGCACCTTTGGATGACATTGAAACAGATGTGGGGCAGAAACTGAACTTCTGAATTGATGTTTCACATCCCTGATTTGTTATGTCCTCAAAGCATATGATGAAATTTCAGTGTTCAGTGTGTTAAACTTTTATCTTCATGCTGTGTTTAGAAAAAAAAAAAAAAAAGAAAGAAAAAGAAATATAATGTGCTTAGCAAAACTAGGTCTTATGTTTTAGGTCAGATTCCCACTAGGGTATAAAAGGAAATCGAGTCATCTCAGCCTGTACAAATGAACCTTAAGATTTTACATCTGCTTCTTTCTTGTAGCATAGTTTGCCAGTGGTGAGAATTAAGACTAAAAGGGAAATGCACATATACATGTCAGAGATCCAGGTCAAGACTAGTATCACAGAGTTTAAGGAGGGAAAGAAGACTTGCTGAATGTTCAGAGACTGGATGAGTTCCTCTAAGCAGTAGAATTCTATGTATTTATTTTATTTCTGTAGGATTGCCTTTACTTTCAATGTCACTGTGTAAGAGAATGTGTTTACTGGTCATTATTATAGCAATTATAGTTTGACATGTGAACTCAAGAACTCCTATCTTTATAGTATCTACCATAAAGCCATGCCACTTTGTTTTACTGGATAGATTTTCAATTTTATCTACTTCCAATTTAGTGTCGTAATTACTGGCCATTTCAACTATTTGTTAATACTAAATATTCTATAGCTAGTTTGCTATGGAAACTTAGCTCCATATATGCCAACCATAAACAACATCAGAAGGACAGGGAATGACTGTGTTACATTCCAGCTTACCAGTTTTTCTGTGGTTGCAGCAAGTAGTTCTTGCTGTCACACTCCCAGTCTATCAGAAATGGGTCATCACAGGTACTGGAAAATGAGCAAACCGTATTCCAGCATTTTAGGATAATTGCTTTAAACTGCAAATCACACCCATTCATGCTTCATGAAGAAATGTATAATTTCAGTAAGTGATTAAAAAAAAAAAATCAGATTTCAGATTCTTAGACTAATCCTCTATTTATTTTGTTGCAAATTTGAGAAGTTTCTCAAGCTTTGTCATGATGGAAGAGACTACCTGTTTATTAGAAATAATAACACAACATAGTTGCCTTAGTCGTGCCTATTTAATATTTATATTTAATATGCTTCAAAATATTAAGCTTTACATAAGAAGAAAAAAGCACGTCGAGGAGTTCTACAGAGGAACTTGACAAGGTATATCAGATGAAGGTTACATCTTGCTTTTTGAAACAAAGCTTGCTTCTTCAGTTTGAAGTATGGAGATTATATTCATTATTATAAGCAGAGGAACTTGTGGGCATTATTCTCCTGAGTGGTAAATAGCAGTTCAGTAGTAAGATAGATGACTTACAAAATAGTCGTGTCCTGTTGTTAGCTCTAGTTGTTCTCAATGCTTGTAAAGGCAATTAATGTTTTCTCTGCTTTTTGTTGTTCTAGGAAATTGATAATATTAGCATTAAAGCACCTTTCAAGGAAACAGCTGCAAAGAGCCATGTGTGAGGAGGGCTCTGGCACTGACAACATAACCTTTCCCTGGCCCAAACTTCTTTCCTTTCTGTTGGAACATGTTGCCACTAATCCTCCTCATTACAATTGATTTCTTCCATTTAGAGTCCTGCACTCTTTCTCAGAAGTCTGCTTTTCGATAGCCACCCTCAATACTGTTGCACCCTTTTTCTCTCATTCTTTTACTTGATAAACAGTCATACAGCCACAACAGCAGTGACTTCTGCTAGCAACATGCAGAATCTCCAACCCCTCTGTAGGGGGTAAATCTTGTGAATTTGTGTGGCACGGAGGCAAATAGAAAGAAAACATAAACCATGTGACTTATTCCAGAAATCAGAGATCTTCATTGCATGGATAGAAGTTTTAAAAGTATTACAGAAAGCATGGGCCATGCTCAAAACAAAGAGGTTGTGCTTTCCAAGGCAGGCTATGCTATCAGTTTTGCACTTGTTTTATGTATTAAAATTTACTTTTATATGGTACTTATTAAATAAACACAGTGAGCATTTGGAAAAATAAACCAAAACCACAATGTCATTTCTATTGTCGTCTTATTAATTGGGAAAGTTTCATTACCCATGGTGTTAGCAGGAAGAAGTTAAAATGAATGCCATGCCATATGTCTGTTTATACCCCCTACTCTCACTGCATTGTAAACAGAACATAGGCAACAAATCAAAATTCTCTTTTACTAAAATGATCATGATCCTAAATATCATCAAACTGTCTACATCAGTGGATCCAATAGCTTTCACAATTTCATTGTTTTTTCAGTTCAAGGGTTTGAGAAATTACTGTAATTATAAGAACATTTTCACCCTCAAGCATAGATGGGCCATGCAGCTAATTAACATACTTTAAGCTAACTCTATGAAAATGAAATATGTGATAGGTTCCAAATGAATCATTTAGCAGGATCCTGTTGGACTTATCTTTCCATGCTGACAAAAATAGATTGTAGAAAAAGAGAATGGAAGGGGATGTTAAAGTGATTTAGTGATTAACTTAATTGCTTTTCTTTCAACCACTAGCAGTTCCTAGATGGGAAGGATGGGAAGGCAAAGGACACTAGCCTTTTTTTCTTTTTTTTTTTGGTTATTTATTTTTTTTGCACATGCACCAGGAGGTTACTTTTTCTATAGGTCTGGTTTTCTGTACCTGCTAATTTTGAATGACTGCAAGTCAAATGAATACAAAGTGTCACTAGCTCAACACTTGAATGATTAAAGGCATCAGCTGCTAATTGATCAGAAGGTAGCAAGCAAGTCTAAACCAAACACCTCTGATCCATGTTTTATCCCACTGTAGTTATTTGTCTTGGCTAATTCAAGAAGTTGATAGGTGAACATCTTTGGGTTCAGGAAAAGTATTGAATAAATAAAATCTAGTGCAAATACAACACTTGCTAGTGATGTGCTACATTCCCAAAGAGTAGAGGGAAAGACTGAGGTCTATTCTCTGGAGAGCATCTGCCAGATGCATCACTGTTCCTGAGCCCGAAAGGAGGGATCGAAGCCACAGGATGTTTAGAAATGGATGGGAATACTTGGCTGCAGGGATAAGATTGAGGAGTGAGGATAGAAAAGTTCTTAGCATTAGACAAGACAGATGATAAAACAGCTTAAAAATAGAAAGTAAGTCAAAATAAAGTGATATTTTCATTGCTCAAGTGAGAGAAAATGAGAACTTTCCCTCTTTTTTATCCAGATATAGCAGGAGTTGGATTTGACTGCGCTCATATTAGATTGCTGCAAGTCTGAAAAGGCTTCCATGGTAGTACTACTTCATCCTCAGAGCAAGTGCACATTCTGGAAGGAACTGAAAGGAGAAGCTTGTGGTTCTTTAATTGTAGCCATTGGGCTACTAAGATCCTTGCAAGT